CTAAGTTCGACAAGTTCAGACATTTACAATTAAAACCCGCTTAGACATATAGACTAAGGCGAAGCATTCTCATTCTCTCCGTATTCCACTGGTAATGAAGAAGCTCTATTTGGATTGGCTTCTTTTCAAGAGTTGCTAATTAATGGATAATAATCTCAAAAACTACAATTGTAACCTCTTCAACTCGAGGATCATAGGTTACCAGTGGTATATACTCTCATAATTTGCTCTTGCCATATGTCTGTACAACAATATCTATACCCTATGCCTTGAGTATCACGAGGAACTTTGAATGAAATTGCGCTTGTGTTTCATGCCACATCCTGAAACATCGTAAATATTCGGAAGCTCTTCTGGAAAACTGAAAGATACGTCATCAATTGGCTTTCCATACCAGCTACAGCTTCTCTTTTATTTGCAATGCCCATTCAGTACGTAGGCGATTATGGCTCTCCATTTTTCTCTATTACTTGTAGCTCTCAACCAGTTCCTTCACTCCGCTTTCTCTCCCAGATCACATTCTGACACCCACTTGCTTAATCCCGCTAGGTCTGACACTCGTTGTTTTCCCTTGTCTCTCTTTGCTTCTATTCGACCTGTACTTCTGTACTTCATCGTCACTAAATCGGATCGTGTGTTTTTTTTCTAGTCACGGTAGGCATTTTACTCTCAGTGAGGCTCAAACATTTGAATTTATATTCAGCCTCAATATTACACCAGGCCACATGTAGAAATTTTTCTAGACAAGATATTGCTATAGATCCTGAAAAAAATGGCCAGCTACTTCTATCGTCCCGTGGGGACTTCTGCTATTTATTATCTTCGACAAAAAGAGAGACTAGAATAAACAAGGCGTATTGCTCTCATATCTTGTCTGAAACAGCACAATTCTCACTTTCGAGCCTGGGTAGATTTTTTAATTCCTTTCACCGTATTCAAGGTAATAAAAACACTGTGACGCAAGGCGTTACTAAGTGTTAGAGATTATGAGAAAATTCATTATTAAGCAGAAAAAAGAATAAAAGAACAATAATTAAGAAAACAAAAGTTAACAATTGAGAGTGCATTTACATTTTTGAAGACCAAATTTAAAATGGAGGAAGCCGGAAGAGACTTCCACGAGCAATTAGTGTAAAAATTATTAGTTACATTTAGTGATTTCACCTGTAAAATTATGAAACACCTTTCGAATGAGTAACTATCAGTTCTAAGAAAAAAATAACTGCCTTTAACAATAAGGACAGCGCAAGATACTAGCTTCAAGTTGAAGACGTCAATATAAAGTAATACAGAGATATACTAATCTGTGAATCATAATGTTTTACGCCTATCCTAATGGTAAATCTGCTAAGATCCAGTTTGCAGCTGACCTTAAATATTACCTATAATATTAAATGGGACAAGACATAGCATATTGATTTTAATGCATCTAAAATGAAACTGTTCTCCCTTTGTCATCCTAACCAAGGCAATACAGCCACTAAGACAAAAGTATTTACAGGATGTGAGAGAATATGAGAAAAAAAAAAACAGAATAATAAGAGAGAGAACAATAAATGAAGAGGAATTAAGCAAACAAAAAAAAAAATAACGTTTGACACTGCATTAAAATTTTCGAAGAACAAAGTTGACTGAAAAGTAAGAAGCCGGAAGAGAGTTCCACAAACGATAAGTGTAATTGAAGAAAATATTAGCATAGAACGTACGGTTGGATCTAGCATTTTAAACAGTAGAATCCTGAAACCTTCTAGCCAGTCCAGTACAGCGCTAAAATTCATGAAGTCAATGTATGAAAGAAGAAATTTCATCAGAACAATTATCATGTAAATATTTCCAGAAAAGCCACATGGAAGCTACATTACGGAGATGAGAAACTTGCTGAAAACCGAAATGCCAGACTAATAGCATTACTGATTCATCTTTAGATTTTATCAAGAATCTCTAAATACATATCAGATGTGCCAGTAATATTCAATGCATGGATGAAGTGTAGACTTGTAAATATGTAAGAGAGAATCTATTGAAAGTTTCATAGCAAATTTTCAAGTAGCAGACCTAGCATTTGATTTAATTTAATCTTTCCAATGTTGGTCAAGAAGATGCAACGAGTTACATCCCTGCTGCTAAACATCAGTCATGCTGATGTAAGGCAAAAGATTATCTTAGACAATTAAGAAAGCTGTTTCGTGTTGGAGGCTTTGAGTTAAGCAATTCTAAGCCCAAAGTCACAACAAATACTTGGTTATTTTGAGATCAGCTACCAATTATCGAACCGATCAAACCTACCATTAAAACGTAAGTAAATAGTATTGTCATTCTTATAGATGTTGCGAACTGGTGACCTCGGCTATATCGTTGATGAAATTTCGGAACAGTGTGTAAGTATAGAGCCATGGCGGTCATCTTCATTAATGAAATAAATATTTAGAATAGCGTCTGTTCAAAAATTCGTTCATTTCGCGATTTGATAATAACGGTTGGATCCGATAAAAGATTCATCCAGAAATATCATAGCCTTTTAACTTGTGTCAAAGACCGGAATGCCAAATGCTATCAAATGCTTTGAGTTATCCAAAGTAACAGCCAGAGATGCGCTATTCTACTTGATAGATTCTTTCAGTAATAACCGTTTATACACCAGCAGTTGACCTAGAGAAGCGAAAGCGATATTACCTATCTAAAAGATGACTCGGTCAGGTGCGATGAAGTAATTAAGAGTTGACTAGAGCTTCTAGTACGTTGTCAAAAAGAAGTAGAAGGTTAATTGTTCGAAAATTAGAAGCATCAACGAGTTCGTCTGAATATTTAATGAACTAGAATTACAGACGAGGATTTCTAACAAGCAGTTAACCACGAAGGGGCAAAATATTTATTGTGGAGTTTATAGAGAACAGGAGTTCCTTTGTTAAGGACTATTGCAGGTATATCATCAACGCACATGCTTTGTGAAGATCCATTTTGTAGATAATAGCAGAAACCATGGACGGACTTATATGCATATTACTCAAGAGAAACTTACTTTTAAGTGGGAAGTCAAGAGTAGAAGTGGAAGAGAATTTACAAGCAAAACATTTCGTTAAAAATCAGAAGATGTTAACACCTGCAAATGAGTGAAGAGAGGAGGGATAGACGACTTATTTAACACACTATTACAAAACCACGCAGTAGTCACGGAAGTCAAACTTGTAAAAAGCTATACAGTGCTCCTCTGTCAGTAAACAACGACTTAGCCTCTTTGAGGAAATGTTTTCAATTATGCCGAGCAAACAAATATTGAATCAATAGGTAAGTCTGATGCTAGTAGTGTTGGTCCACTCCAATGTTTTTGACAATTTTCCCTGTCAGAATATATCTCACACTATTTATCAATGGATTGACTATCGCTGACGTATTTCGTCTAGTGCGTCTGTTAAGTATTTTGAGGTTCATAACAAAAGAATAATAATCTTCAACGTTATTGATCCTGGGCTGGCATCCCGGTTTTATTTACTTTCACATCGCTGTACAGTAGCTTCCTTATGACTTTCTATTAACATTTTGTAGTGAAAGAGATAATCAGCTACCTCGAAAAAGAGTTCGTGTTTTGTGTGCGATCTGCCGAAGAATAATTACCAAAAATAGTTAGCAAAGATCTACTTTAAGGACTAGAAACTATGCTAATGTTCTTCACTTCCCTGCTTGGCGTGACCAATCAGAAAGACCTCCCGGTGAGCAAAAGCCGTTGTTTTTTGTTTATGTGGGGATTAGATTTTCTGAGCTTGGTGGACGAACACGTGTTTTTGCAGGTGAGAAGTGAATATTGGATGTGTAACCCCATTTTGTCCTTCCTATGTTGCCTGGTGGACTGTTACGATGGACTATCGTTTGAACTGTGATTTGGTTAAAATGTTGCGGTCGAGAGACAGAAGAAATCTATGGCGGACGTTTGTTGCTACTATAAGCTGACATTTTTTTTCTTTTTCTTTTCTTTACAACTACACATTTTCATGTTATTCTTCTGATAAGATATCGTTTTTGGTTACCTCGATTTTACGAGTTTAATCGGAGTACTAGATTGGCAAGTAGGTTTCATCGTTTTACATATGAAATTGCTCGATGTAACCATTAACACTATGCCAACAATTTCTTCCCTTGCACGTCTCGATTGTGAAACACTTTTCCGGTCGTATGTTTTCCACTGACATTTTATGTTTAAAAGTGTAAATCCAATATCAATCGTTAACTTCTGTCTACTTAAACCATTTTCTTTTATTGTCCTCTCACGTCAATAATGTTTTTTCTTAGATTCTTTCAGCCGCTATGTCTTCGTGATTTTACCACCTTGATGGCGGGGAAATGATAAAAGAAAAACAATGGAAAATGTGATACAAAAATCCAAAGACACATTGGAACAGCGAAATATGCGTCTAAAAGCTAAAAAAATGTATCAGTAGATTTAGTTAGAATTATATATGTTGGAGAATTACCTTGGAGGTCCAAGAGGCCCACAGTAACGTAGCCTAACAGCACGTCTCGGACAAGCGAATTGCTAGCGAGACAAACCATCCGAATGGAATGACGGGGCGTATGCGTCATTGAATGAGATCGAGGCTGGAAGTGTGGTCAATATCCAAATTCTTGCTTGCCAGAATATTATATATATATATATATATATATATATATATATATATATATATATATATATATATATATGTTTGGTGAGATAAGTATTTCGACGGTGCGTACAGAATCCAAACCCGTTGCAAGTGTGTTACCAGTATAGTGCTACAGAATGCCAAGTTTCCTGCTACGAGCAGCTTCTTCAGCCTTGACCGAAAGTAACCATTATGCTTAACAGTCGCGTCTAAGCAGATGCAGTTTCATCACGCATTATAATGACGAACACCTACTTCGAAAAGCATCACAAATACAGTGAAGTGAAGCATGACCTTCAATACCTGACTTCACACCTTGAACTGCAATTTCCTTCAGTTCCATTCCTCTTTATTGCCGTTGCAAATATGCCCTTTATTTATCACATTCCTTGTTGTTTTTATCCATTTATTATACATTTATTTGCTTTCATAATTCACTGTCAATTCCACAATCTAATAGAATCCATCATCTTTTTTAAAGAGAAAAGCAGGTCAGCTGTACTTACTTAGATGGTGGGATATTTGATTGTCTATATTTGTAGTCGGTGGCAGGCACCCATTCCATTTGTCTTCACAGGCGAATAGATTAAAGAATATTTTTGAAGATCAGAATATTAGCTGGTTTTTATTGAACTTAGTTTTTGACTTGGAATTGAGTCATACAGTCTATTTGTTGCTATCCTTTCTCCTGAAAAGAATACTGGAGCCAAATTGTTCCAAATACTTGGCATTCCCTTTAGAGACTTTGAAAAAAAATATCATAATATTGTTCTTTTAATCTCCGTTGTAATTATCAAAACACTTACATTTCTTTTTATCCGTCTTTTTTCTCAGACATATTCTTTTATTTTTTCTTCCTCATCTTGCCCGGTCCATATTTTTTTCCATCTCTTTCTTCTTTTTCACTTTTATTCATTTTCTTCGACTTCCTTTCTTTCTCTCTCATCTTGCCCTATTCCCTTGTTGTTCCTCGTCTTCTTGTTCTTTTTATACCTTTTTTTTCTCCCTTTTTACGCCATTTGTGTACATTGTTCTCTTTTTCTCAATTCTATCTTCTTTATACGATTTGTTAGTTTTTTACTTATTCCTTTTCTTCATTTCTTTTACTTCTCATTTATTTTGTCATTCCCCCTCACACTTCTTTTTGTTTCTCCTCTTCTCGGCAGGGTTAAGGTTAGCGTTTTCTTTCTTGTCTTGTTCTTTCCCCCCTCAGAGTTTATCTTTCTTCTCCTCTTATTCTAATGCATCCTTTTCTTTACCTTCATCTTCTATCTTTCTTTTATCTTCGTTTACTTCTTTCCTTTCTTTTCTTTTTCCTATTTACTTCATTTTTCTTCTCTTGCATCTTGTCTTTTCATCCCTCCTCTTTCATTTTTTCCAACTTTTATTTGTTTTTTTTTCTTCCCATTCTTCTTTTCCCTCTACTTAATACCTCTTCTTCTCTCACATCGCTTCTTTTTCTCACTCCGAGTTAAACTCCAGCTTTTTTTTTTAACTTTCCTTTTTTTCCTTACCTTCATTTTCTTCTTCTTTATTTTTCCACACCCATGCTCTCATCCTGTTTTTACTTGACTTACTTTCAGCTTTCATTTCATCTTTCCTCTATTTTTGGTTGTTCTTTTGCTTTCTCCTAATTTTATAACTCTCTTTCTCCCTCATCTGGTCTTTTTTATTCTTTCAGCTTACATAATATTTCCTTTTTCCTTTTTTTTTCTTTCCATCTGTAATTTCTTTTTCCCTTTTCTTCTTTACCCTCCACTTTATTCCTCTTTTTTCTCTCCCTCATCTTCTCTTTTCCTCACTGAGATTTCATATTCCGTTCTTTTTTTTTAACTTTGTTTTTTTTTCTTTTCTTTCATTTTCCTCTTCTTTATTTTCCCTCTCCTTAGCTCTAATCTTGTTTATTCTTCACTTAATTTTCATCTTTCTTTTCTTTTCTCCTATTCATCTTTTTCTTTTTCATCTCAGACCAGATAAGGGAGAAAAATAAGTATAAATATTTCTCTTTCTTCCTCATCTGGTCTTTTCTTCTCTCAGCTTTCATAGTTCATTTTACTTTTCATATTTCATTTCGTTTTACTTTCTTCTTTTTCCTCTTCCTTACACATCAACCTTTTTTTTTTTACAAATTCAGCATTCATCTTTCTTTTCTCATCTCTCTCAACTTGAGTTATTCTTGTTGCTTCATAATAGGAAATTCATTAAAAAAAGGAAGAAAATAAGACGAGACAAGAAAAGACAGAAAAATAAAAAACCAAAAAAACCAAAAAGAAATAAAGAGAAGTAAAAAGAAAAAAAAAAAGATCTCTTTTTAGTTTTATTATTATTTACTATGCACTTATCTAGTCTAGCGAACCGATATAAAATAGCTGTAAACTCAGTTATAGCCAATAAATATACCCGAAGATCTCTTAAAAAGCAAATATGTTTTATATTTATGAAGCCTTATTATATTATAAAGATTTGATCTAACGCTACTGTCTTTGTCTTTCGCTATTAACATAGTAATGGGCAGAGTAATTTAGCAATTCAATAGACCAGAACGTTCTTTCCTTGCTCTCTGTCTATCATTTGGTCATACATTGACTTCATGTCCTTGTTTCTTTTACTGGCAGACGCTTTTGGGGTTTACATTTATTTTTAAGCAATATTTCGGGACATTATTTTTCATCATCGGGATATGCATTATTGACAACAGGGACTATGCTATATTTTTCTTCTACTTTCTACCACAGTTGTAAATGGTAGGGTTCACTAGAGATCATGTGACAACAAGTCTTCTTCTTTTTCTAAGTGCTGTGTCCCTTCATCAGGTAAGCGATCATGGCTATACACAATTCCCTGTCCTTTGTAGCTCTTAATAAATTTGTTTTGTTATCTCTACTAAACCATCAATTTACTCAAGCTCACTAAGTAAGTTATACATTGTTTTGCTCCGTCCGTATTGCATTCAATCTATCCTGTGAGTATAAAGTTTCTCAACCCGTCTTTCCTCAATATGTACCATAGAAATTTCAACTGTCTCTTCCTGATATTATGTATAAATTTCCTTCTTTCACGAAAACTTCGTCACTGTTCATGTGTTCGGTTCAGGGTCTCCTCACCATATTTCTGTAGAACAACATTTCTGCCGCCACAATTATCCTCTTGAAGAGATTGTTCAGAATTCGCTGCTATACAGGCGAGCAGGAAGCAAGTATCCACAACATTTATATCCTTTTTCAATATGCGTGTTTATTTTAATAATTAAGACAATTTTGGTTCATATTTATAATATTATCTAGCCACTAAAGAGTCACGCAATATAGAAGCTCAGTAAGTCATGTTGTTTTTAAGAGCCTAACTGTGGGAAGTAAGAAGTGGCGATGATCATTACTTATATGTTAGATAAGAGTTGCACCTAGACTTGAAGACAATAAGACCGTAGCAATAAAACTGGAAAGAAGCTAAGTGGAATTTCTTCCTTACCAATGGAATAGGAATGGAATGTGGATGAATAAACGCTGTTTATTTGACATAGCTTGTCTTAGCTGAGAATGTCTGAACTGAGAAATATAGCTTGTCTGGTCATAGTCAAAGCAAGCAACAAAATGACTGCTAGATATTGTCTTTTTGCAAATATGTTTATTTATAACTCAATTTTTAAACCCACATTTATATATATATATATATATATATATATATATATATATATATATATATATATATATATATATATAAATAAAAATAATCGACTCCCCTCTCCGTTTAGTATAACTTTGAAATAGTGGAAAATCACTATTTCTTTTATTTTTACAATAATTGGTTAGAATTATGTGCTGAAAGTGCGTGAAGCAAATTTTGCCTACTAAACTCATAGAACTAATTCATTTTAAAGTAAATTCTGTTGTGACGTAAGCGAGGGATTACGTGTGTGTGTGTGTATTTGAGAGAGAGAGAGTGTGTGTGTATGTTTGTATGTTATTTCATATATTTAAGCATTTAAGATTTAAATTATTTTAGTGTATATACAGAATGTCACTAAATTCTGGACACTTTAAAAATATCATAAACTATACTATTTTTTATTTGCCTACACAGTTTAAACATGGTTTTGTCGAAAGAGGAAAGGATTGATTTCTTTTATGTGGTATGCTAAAGGTGAAGGCCTACTCAATGAAAATCACAGATAGATCACACTTGATTGAACGCATAAAGTGTGAATATGTTAAAATTCACGGCAATGTGGAGTTATTGGATCGAGTTCACGTGAATCTTTCAATGTGTATCAAGCTTTGCATCATAAATAAAAACATATTGAAGCTGTTATTTGTCAATAATCTAATTCAATAAAATATTGGTGAAAAATTATTTTCTTAAAAATATTCATTTTAGCCTGTGTGTCCAAACTTTAAGGACAGCCAAAATCCCAAACTAAAATTATTTTAATATTAATTGCATAAAAAAATTAACAATTACATTTATTTACTAACTTTCGTTTATTAGACATTAAATTATGTCACATAGCATCATCCATATTATAACTTGAATTCTGAGTTAATCTGATGAATATTTATGGACGTCTCTTTTAATTGTAAAAATTTCGAAAACTAACATTTCTACATTTATTTATGCATTCTTGTTGAAAAAATGTTATGGATTTGTTTAGAAATAATATATTCATGAGAACATGTATTTCTGAAGCAGGTGAAAACTTTTCATAATACATTGGGGAAACCTGCAGGAAAGTAAAAGAAAAATATCTATAACATGAAAAGGAACTTATGGAGGGCAATTTATCAAATGGCTTAGTTATATATAGGATTAAATTCTTTCATCTAAAGAAAGACAATCTTATTTAAAGATAAATTAACATTCTCTTGTATGCCGCTATCATATATCTCCATTCTTGAAATAATTACCTCATTCTCAAGCTAACGCACATGGCTGTAAAAGTGTTAAAAATTAAGAAGACAGTAAAATTCATAACCTGCTTTTATTTAAAAGTTTGAAACAAATTAATCCCAAATTAAAATGGTATCTCCAATCTTGAAAAAATTACCTCATTCCCAAGTATTAACACACATGGCTTATTATGTGTGGTGCGCAGTTCAACGAGAGACAAAATCGTGTAACACTAAATGTGAACTAAAGACAAGAAGAGTGGCAGATTTTGAATTCGTCTCGAGACCGTCGATGAAGCCAATGCCGGTTTTATTGAATTATATATATATATATATATATATATATATATATATATATATATATATATATATATATATATATATATATGTCTGTATAGCCTATATTCGACCGGGTCTTTCAATACTGGGAATTTTTGCCATTCAATTGGAGTAGTTTACATTTTAAAACAACCCAGCTGAAAATCTGTATTAGTATGAATAATTGGGTGCTACTGAGGCATATCCCGAAAATGGGAGGGTAACAATTTGAATGGTGTGTGGCCTTGAAAAGGGCCATTTTTGCGTTCTCAATCTTGCAAGGAATAAGCCTCTTCCATCGACCGCCATAATATTAATATACTATATTTTTTATTTATGATATGATTTTTTTTTATAATTCTAATAATCTTTTGCGTTAGATTTTAACACTCTAAATTGATTGTACGCTCTCTTTACAGACATTAGAATTAGCCTTTGATTTTTGTGCAAAGAGTAAAACATCAGCTTTTCGTATTTTCACCTTCAAGGTTGTAATTTTGTTTCCCGGCAATTTGGAATCAAAACCGTCACTGATGAATTATCTATCAGACAAAAAGGAAACGCTTCGAAATCGGATGAAAACGGTGGATACGCATAAATAACATCCGATCACGCACATACACACACGACATAGACACACATAGACAGAATTATTTATATATATATATATATATATATATATATATATATATATATATATAAAGAATTAATAGTTTGTTTTTCATTTTAATCGAACATTTGATACGTTCCAGATCAGGAGTGGGTAATATTTCGGACAGATACAACTGTCATGAAGGCGGAGTCAACTCATCCGCTGGAGTGTATTAGGACCTGGATGTGACACATAGCAGCTGTGTCATCTACTTTAAAACCTCCCAACTTCCACCTACTTATTATTACACACACACACACACACACATATATATATATATATATATATACATGTATGTATTCTCATATATATATATATATATATATATATATATATATATATATATATATACGTATATATATGAGAAAAAACATACATAGAAGCACGAAGAATTTTTTTTGCGTATAAACCCTAATTCTTCCCCAGACGTTATAAATGCAAATCAAAAGTTTTGAGCAGGGCTATAAGTGAATATACATAATATCCAACGTCGATAGCACGACTCGGAGTTTCATGCGGTTGCTGCAATCTTCAGGTATTATGAATATTCATATATATATATATATATATATATATATATATATATATATATATATATATATATATATATATATGTGTGTGTGTGTGTCAACACACACACACACACACACACACACACACACACACACACACATATATATATATATATATATATATATGCATATGCTATTCTATATAGAATGGCATCCTATTTCTAGTGACTATGGACGTAAGATCAATCTATTAAAGCATTAAATACATCGAAGGGCTAACTGCCCCACAGGAAGCTTTTACTAAAAAGAAGAAAACAAGACCCCACCCACAGAACATTATCATAAAACTCATGGAGCATATTCTTACCCTGAATGCTTTCAACTTCAATGGAGAACACTACCTGCAATTCAGAGGATGTGCCATGGGCACTATTGCAGCTACATCATAAGCTACAATATTCATGGGAAAATTTGAGTAGACCCATATCTATCCCCTCATCGGTAGCAACTGCGTATTCTATGCAAGATATATCGATAATATATTCTTTGTATAGACGTGCAGTGACGACAGACTTATCCAATCCCTCATGAACCTCAACACAATGCACGAATAATTAAGTTTGATTATGAAAAATTCACAAGATCGGTAACATTTTTAGACACGCGTATTTACAGAGATGAAAACAGGAAACCACAAAGACACTACACACTAAAATCACCGACACCCACAACTATCTACCCTTTAAGTCTTCCCACCCTAAACACCTCAAAGAGAACTTTCCCTATTCACAAGCACTCAGACTC